AATCGGCCTAAATGAGTTAAACATCAAATAGAAATTAACAAATGGCAAATCGCACGAAATTTACAGTAAAACTAGCAAATATAATGAAAATCAAGGGTTACCTAGCCTTTATCCACAAACAGCTGCAGGCAACATATAATATTCTTTAATGCGAATAATTACAATTAAAACTAAGTACATTACCTTTTGTTACAGTGCAAAACTTGAAATTGAATTTGAAATACAATTGTACTCGCTGAAGGCAAAACCCAAAGTGATGCTGCATTTACAATGAACCTACAAATGTATCCTCAGCAAACAAATGATTCTCCTGAGGGGAAATGTTTCAGAGAAAAGAATTCCTTGAGTAAATTTTCCAAATGCGGATATTCTGAAGGCGAATTTTCATTGCGATTACATATATGTAATCCCAATTCAATATCTTCAGGTAGGTAGGTGAAAGCGAGCCATAAGAGCATATAAGCACTAAAAACTTCGCGTTGCACAATCTCTCCAACTCCCACACAATTTCAAAATGAAAATATTTATTATAAACTCCTTTAACTGTTGGACTAATATGCACGCGAATAAACTTCAGCGGAAGAGGGAGAGGTTTAGGATACCCCGCCGCTTATGCTAAACCAACGCCGCATGTTAAATGATAACATCGATGGGTTTTTCACAAAACATCGTAAGCGACAAACAGCAAATTTTACATGAGACGTTTTTTTTAATGTATGACTTTGTTTAATGAAGAATGTAAGCAATTTAATTTCGATTATATTTTGCCGCTTAAGATGATTTGTTAGTAATATTTTTTTGGATGTTTGTCGTATCCTTTATCTTATACGACAAAAATCCAAAAAAATATTACTGACAAAACTTCTTACGCGGCAAAATTAATTAATCGAAATTAAATTTTTAGGTGAATTTCGGTTCACTAATAGCTGTGTAATTATCGAGTTCGGGCTTTCGCTACATTTTTCCCTATGACGCTTAGATGTGTAACAATTCAATATAACTCTGCTCTGTCGAAAGTTTTAGAGCAAAATGTAGCCAAAATTATACTTTATACATGAATTTAGAGTTTTAAAAGGTTTCAAACGCATTACCTTGATGCCGAAAGAGTACATCACGTGCACATTTGATAACCGCATGTGTGTGATTTAAAGATGTTAAATTATTTTTCTGGGGCCACATGGATTTTGATCAAAATAAGTCAAAATCGTTATTTATGCACCAAGATCATTGAGAAATAGACTAGGGGCATTATCTCAATGCTCAAGACATAAATTTGATGCATTTCTGGCGACCACATGGATTTTGATCAAAACATGTCAAAATCGTTATTTATGCACCAAGATCGTTGGGAAAAAGACCAAGAGCATTATCTCAATGACAAAAACATGAATTTAAACGGAAACTTACCTATGTACCAGCACTTTAAGTACACAAATAATTCGTTTCACTAACTTAACTAATATTAGTAACGCTGTTCATTTGGACACGACATGCAATCTAATAAAATCTTTTAATATAAACGCCTAATAGCAAATTTTTCGACATCAACGGCTCATTATATTATAGTAAGCGACGAAGAATTTAACGTAAGCGACAACAGTTACGATTTTTTGTCAGCATTACGTTGTCGCTTACGATTAAAATGGGCAAAGTTATAACAATGTCGTCTAAGAATGTTGCTTATGATAAAAAGTAAACCGAAATTACACATACTTACAATAAAATAACAGGGAAACATCTATTTGAATAAAGTTCCAATTATCGTAAGCAACGGATTGCACTAAAAATCCGATTTTCGACAAATTTGTCGCTTATACGATGTTTTGTCAAAAACCCATCGACATATTCAAGATTGGAGCTAATCCCACTCACTATATATGTCACATACCAAAAACATCAAAGTGGCATACAATGTTATTACCATAATAGGGGTATGAAAACCATCACTTAGGATCATTTTTGACGGTCTGAACACAGAATTTGAATACTGGAGGATAGTATTCGTGATCCAGATTTGTGACATTCTTTCGAGAAGATCTGATTCGAATCATATCACTAATGTTTCGAATGAATCATTACAAATGATCCAATTTCTTTTGTGAATCATTTTTGCCTGGGGATGTAACTAAGCTCATGGAACGGCTCATTTTATAACATTTAGGGAATAGGTTTACATTAGGAGGGTAAAACACTTTTTAGGGAAGTTCGCATCAAAGCGTGGAGGTGGCAGTCAGTTATTATAGGTAGTAAAGTCCCTAGATTACTAGGACTTTAATAGGAAGACAAGCGATTGACAACCAAACTTGAATGATCTCCTGATTGGATGAAAAGAAGATGCTCAACCATTAGGTACGCCTAGATAGAGTGACATTTGATTCTTTGATCAGTCATCGTTAACTCTAACACTGAGTAAGAGATAAATAAGCACAGAGGTTCCACAGTGTACTTTACACAAGTGAACTGTTAGATATCGATTACTATTAGTTTAAATTGGAATGATATTGCGTGCCTTAGTGAAGACGATAAGTAATTTGCATAGGACAACTGAGGGTATTTAAATATTAATAATAATAATAATAATTTTACATAAGGAAAGACCATGTATATTTTACGTCTGATTATTGAGACGAGTAACGAATTCGGAAAGTTTGACACATTCAGTACCTAAATCTTGATCAACACGAATTTTGCTTAATTTTCTTTTCGCACAGCTAAACATGAATCATTGATAACATGATAACAAGCCTAGTCAAATCCTTTTCAAAGTCTGGGATGGCAGTATTAGTCTGACAGGTAAGAATCACTACTCGTGTAACTAACAGTTTGCTCCTACTAATAAAATATGCAACTCATAAACAAACTTTTCTTACGCATTTTTTGCACTAAAGAGAACAAATATACAAGATGCGTGAAACAATAGAGTTTGATACCAAATTTGATTTGGGATTGGGATGGGACAGTAAATTTTTAAAAATCCATATTCGAATTATTTTTATTATGTGTAGAGTTTGACACAGAATTCGAAAATGGATTAAGAAAAAACTGTTCCATTTGAAAAATCAACTTTGGTATCAAAATGTCCTTTTTGGATGCTCCCTGCATATTTTCTTTTTAGTGTAAAAAATGCATTTTTTTTACACCTGATTTTTAAATGAATTTGTTCCATATTTTAGCCGCTCACTGTATAGTGTACCCCTAAATCTCGTAAAAAAATAAATGTTTTGACAGACATACAAAAACCGGTCGACTTTTATATTGCAGCGAACCTCGAGAAGGAAAAGGGAATTGGCCACGGCTATCCTGGGGAAACGGGGCTTCCACCGACGTTTGACAAAGCTCATATAATTTTTGGGCGCCAGGCGTACATACATAGGTCACGCCAAAATATAAATAAAAATATAACTAACGAGCTGAAGTGACCTCTACTAACTTAAAGTACAATCTTGACTCAAACTCAAACCTCAGCCCCGGTACCCAGTGATAATTGTTTGTTGTAGTACAAATTTTTATTGGGTACTAGAAAAGTAAACACGCTCCTTTAAAAAAATCAATTTAAGCAAAGGATTTAAAACAATATTGTTATTATTTTTTGATCCAACACAAACTTTTTCTTATAATCTCACTGCATGACTGCATAACAGAACACCTGCAATTTATATCAAGCTGTACGACATTTCACCTATATCCTAACGTTTTTCTTCTTAGAAACGAAGAGAAACCAAAATTTTAACGCCCTTGATGCATCTTTGTGATTTTTATTTGGCGTTTTATCAGTATGAAGTAGGCTAAGTAAAGTTTAATATCACCTCTTCCTTCTCGATTATTTTATTTTATTTACAATTACACTTTTACGGAGAATAAGATATTCTTGGAATAACTGCCATAGCAACATGTATGCCATTGGTTGACACAATGGTAACCAACGCAACCGTCGACATTTATTCTAGGTATAGCTTATTCTCGGTCAGAAACTTGTTTGGTATATACCTTCATTGTAGAATCGGCCCTATAGAGGTAACTTGATTTGAGTTGGAATGCTTGACAGAACCTGTGGAGATAAAACGTTCTGTTGCGGTCAACAGTCTATTACCTCTCACATTACACTAATGCCAACATATTTTCTTAACGCATGATATTTTTAAAACTATTTTCAATAGTTTCTCTTAATAAACTTAAAAAAACAATTGACAATCAAAAATAGGATAAGAAATGCAATAAAAATATTTACAATTTTCCACCTTAGCGAACACCTCAATATGTAGTAATGAGTACAAAATACCATTAATCAATAAAAATTTAATCAGTGTACTTTGCAAAATGGATATTTACACGCGAATACTACTCCGCACGATATCACTATTCTGCTACACCTATAATTAACACAACAAATTAGATCGTTATTATAAAACTGTTTATAATAATAACTACTTATTCAAGTATCACACATGATAACAAGTATAAAACGCAGTTTAATAAATATATAATTTTTTTAAACGTTTAGAAACGCACATTAATTTGAATTATTGCTTTTATTACCGTCTATTTATTTATTTTTTACTGTTTTCATAAACGTAACGCCCCTAAGTCCTCATAAAATACAATTATTGTAATTACTTCGGGACGTTTATTTATTTATGTATATTAATATTTTGTTCTTTGTTGCTTTAATCGTTTTGAATTATAAAAACGAGTCATATGTAAACATCTAAAGAATATAAATTATTCATAAACTCAGTCGCAATACACAAAAGCAATTACTAAATTATATATCTGACAACTGATATTTTATGTTAGATAAAACGGTTACTGGATATTACACACTTTTTCACTATCGCTTATGAGACAAGCTTTGCAACGTGGAAAACGAAATGCGCTCGCTGTTGTGTGTACTAATTACATTGATTCGATGTTTCGAAACACCCTTACTCGCTTGGTCATAACCAACCCTAAGTAATTGGACATAAAAGGATAGCACAATTGACTTTCAAATTTTGTTACAGGTGAAAAGCCTCACAAATGCGTGGTGTGTTCAAAAGCTTTCAGTCAGTCCTCCAACTTAATAACGCATATGCGTAAGCACACCGGATACAAGCCCTTCTCCTGCGGCATGTGCGAGAAAGCTTTCCAACGCAAGGTTGATCTTCGGCGACATCGGGAGTCTCAACATCCAACCGCTCCAGAGATGCCCATCACCTCGAGTTATAACTATAAGTGTTTGAAGCAGGAAGACGAAATCAAAGAGGAAGTTACCAGTAGCAGTTAGATTCTTAAGAGAATTTAAGGGGAAACGAAGTATGCCTTTTAAATTAAGTGCCATTTTGTGATTAAGTGCCATGGTGATTTAGAAATGCGATAGAAAAATAAATTAAAAGTGATAATTAACTTAGTAAATGGCCACTATTATTAAAATCCTTTATTATTCTCTTCTGACACGCGACTTATTATTTGAATAAGACACATGTCGCACGATTCTCATCAAGTACTCGTTTCCCAATTAAGTGTTGAAATAAATGAATACGGACTTTGCATGACGTACATTTCCGTCCATTTCTTTTAGTGCCTTGTCGATATAGGACAGACATATAACCGTCCATTTCTAGACTTGTAATTATTTTAAGAAACTTTTTAGTTCTTGGCAAACCAAAGTTTGATTCCTTAAAGGACTGCCTTACATCGATAGGTTACTTTTGTACCTGATGGTGATCATTTTGTTATTGTTAATGTTTATAAAACTAACATTCTAAGGACCAATCAATTCTAAGATAGCATGCTAGCGACCATTTGTAAATATTCTCTCATCATGTATATTTAAGCACACCCTTGTACATTTTTGGGACAGAGGACCAGTCTAGTCTATGGAAAATTTTTATTTTAGGCGTTCTATTTTATAAGTCATGTTAATGTGAAAGAAAGGGCACCGTTGATATACTAACAAAAACACAATTTCCAAAAATGGAATAATCCAAATGTCTATATGAATGTTGTAAAAATTGTAATTATCTGTAAAATAAAAATGAAATTCACACACATAAAGCTTGTTTGCACTAAAAATCTACGCAAGTTTTGTTTAAAAGTTTTCTTATTACCGGACGAGAACTTTTAACAAAACTTTCATACAGCTTATAAACCAAAGATAGTTTAAGTAAGATTCTAATTTTAGTATTAAGTGTAATTCAAAAGCTGGTGCCTTTTTTAACTTGTTAAAAAGTCTTTTAGGTGTAAGTTGTTTCTTAAATTATTATTAATTTTTGTACATAAATAATTCCCAGTCAGTCTTACTGTTTGTACAATATGTACGTACCTATACTATGTGGATGAATAAAACTAAATAATTTTTTTAGTTTTTTTGTTTATTAACACCAATGTGGTAGCTTTTGTAAAATTCTTTTCATAATGAAGAAAAATTGGAAAGGCACAGTCTGTTGGGTTCAATTATGGAAGCAGTGTGTTTTCATAACAAAGTACCTAATGCAAAAGTGACATAGCCGTGAGTTGATTGGAAATATTCTTCTGTGATGCGGAACGTCGTTGATGTTTCGTAGGTATCTCAATAATGTAGCAAGGATCGCAACAAAGAACGTTGAAAGTGATATTTTTCACACTAGGGTTTGATTACTGGGATACGCGAAAAATTACAGCAGAACAATCATAACAACTGTGAAAGATTTCTTCCAAGAGAGTTGTATATTACATTATTTTTTCTAGGACCCTATCACTAAAAGACGAAACCGAATTAATTGTAATGGTTTATTTTCTCCATTACAAAGCGGCCAATATTTGAACCACGCAATTTTAGCGCGGCCGTGATTGTTGGTTGTCGGTCTTTGTCTTCGTATTTCTTTTGTGAGCTGTAACAAAGTGCACTTAGTTTGAACCAACAGCTGAGGCGTTAGTTGAAACCGCATGGAATTTTAATTGCCATCATCTATATTTTATTAATCTTTGGCAATTGGATTCATTAAATTGGGGATTCTGGAATAATTAGCGAACGGAATAGCTTTTAACTCCGTAAGAGGATACAAGTGCGTTTTTCATCTGTATCCTAAGTACCGCCATTTGCATTTTCCGTAATTCAAGTGTACCTTTTCTTTAGGCTGTCATCTATTATACGACAATTTTGTTGAGGATATGTCATTTTGTCTTTTGTCGTGATAATGACAGGTACTTGCTTTACGAAAGATTTGGAAATCTCATTAAATTCCAGAGGCAACAAGTTAAACTTGCCGAAATTAATTATCTAAACGTATTCACGTGAATGATGATGATGTTGGTAACCTTAATCGAGGTAAGCGTATTTTACATGTTGCCGTTGTTTACAATATTTTTCATTGTTATAGGTAAGTTTTGCGACAAACTTTGGGCCCGCGCACAGTCGGCGAGATTTAGAAATTAAATAGCAATTAGTGAAATAATAATATTGGAGTTTTATTTTGAAAACAATATGAAAAAATCAATAAATGATTTTGTAACTAATTAACACAGCGGAAACCAGTTCGATCGGCGGAAGACGGCGAAACGGCGGCAGGAAACGGCTGAACTGACGGACAGACGGACTCGAGCGCCACCAACGCTTGGTCGGCGGTAGCCACGGATTAGTATGTGGGTCTCGGTAGCCTCTGGGTTAAACTCAATCGGAGAACGGTAACTCCAAGAATTCTGCGGGTTCAGCAATGGCGGCGGTCACTTTTGGTGTTTAATCGTGCCCAAATTTACAAATATAAGAATATAAGAGTTCTCATGATAAATTTGATATTCGTCACCAGGGATATGGTAAGTGGTAACTGAAAATGTGTTTCTCCATATTCGACTATCTGCAGTTAACCGACTGACCGGTTAATCCCGATTACCCGAATAAACATGATTTACCGCATGACTGGTTAAGGCTTTTGCGTTTATTAGGCGATGTACAACATAACCTCAAAAAAGGGTTTTTAACGGGTGAACAGCCAGTTCAGTGTCAATGCCAAATTATTTTCTCGACGAATTGCGTAAATTGTACAATCTTTTGAAATCTCCAAGAAAAAAACAATCCCACTTCTTTAAAGATGAACTTACTGATTTTTTCCTCGTTTAACGACGTCTTCGAGATACGCTAGCTAGAAAAACAGCCCGTAATCGAGTCGCACGCCCAATGATTTCACTGCAAAAATACACAATTTCCTTGTATAACTCATTGCCGTGCCTTTAAAGGGTGTTAAAGAATTAATATTTATAGCCGTTTGCACCGACAAATTTAAGCGGAGCTTAGCTTAAGCGTAGCTTAAAATCCACGGCAACCATTGTCTCAATAATCGTTGCCATGGATTTTAAGCTACGCTTAAATTAAGCTCCACTTAAATTTGCCGGTGCAAACGGCCATTAGTTATTTAAATGGTAAGAAAAGAAAAACCCTTAAAGAATTGGCACCTCAAACGAACCGAAAACTTTATACGACGAAAAATACTGTTGCAGGCGGTTCGTCCTGGAACATCAACAAAAGACGTCTGCTTTTCGCGTCTTTCGTATATAAATGAAAAACCCACTTAAATTTCGTAAAAGTTTATCAACCAATGAACACTGCCTAGAAACGACAATAGCCAATACACAACACCTCGATATGACACGTACACCTTACTTCGACGAATTTTTTATCTAATTCGAACAATTTCTACCTAATAATTCAATTTTATTAATGATCAAAATAGTCACGTTATCTCCAAGCAATTACCTTTATTTCTCACAAATACAGGAAAAACTGAATAAATCACCTCGAAACTGTTACATTTGCACTAATGAGCACTTGAAAACAATTAAAAATTAGAGGTACAACAATTTTCTAATCTCACAATTCCAAGAAATACCTTATCGTGTACACAGAAAATAAACAAATATAACCTTAGTCGATTTGGAAAATTGGTTTGTGTTCAAACGTAATCATACCCACGACATTAAACAGAGAAAAGAAAATTTTGATAAAAATTAACCAACAATAAAGGCTCTTGAATTCATCATTCCAAATGTCTTAATTTCAAATACAACGTCCTGACTGGGGGGTTAATTTTAAATTCGTTGGATTATTTATTTTTACCATTATTAGAAGTTCACTGTATGAACCGTTTCCCATTTAAGTGCACAAATGTCTTAGAGCCTTAGAAGTTCAAAATACTTAAGCCAAAATCATTATAAAACGTAGATCAATTTAGTTGTGAAGGCGATCACTTAGAGTTTTGCTATATTTTTATATTTATTGCGCAACCGAGTCCATAGAGTTAATTTTATTTTGAATTTTACATTATCCCAGAAATAATTCATGATTTTGGATTCAATTTTTTCAACCATTCAGTAAGTTTGAGTTACATTATCGACCAGATCAGTTAGTGATTTCCTAGGTTTCCTAGGTCAAAGAGCATTTAAAAATTGGTTTGAACCTATGAGAGTAATAAGGTAAGATCTACTTTGTTCAATTCGCTACAGTTGTATAGTATGTCCATAAAAGTGAATACATTTTGGACAAAACTCGGGAATGATTTGCATGAATTGCCTAATCTAATTATTTTACCTGCCGAAGATGACACCAACCAATAGGTAAATGAAATCCGTTGTCTGGTTTTATGACATCACATGAATTGGAGTCAAATGGATGCCAAGCCATAATATCTCTATAGTCCAGTCAAATAAGAAAAAATAAAAACATTAATTGGTAAAGATCTGAATTTTGGTAAACATGTTCATTAGTGTTCCCCATTGGACATACTAAAAGTCCCCGTCAAAATCTGTTGCGCTCGAGGCACCATCTTGGAAAAAAGGAGCACTTGTTCAGTTTCTTGCCTATATATCGGCAACAATTATTGACACGGAAAAATAGCTCAGATAAAAAATATAGTTTATTAAATTGCCCATAAAAAAGCACATTAACATTTTTTTGTATGTCCAATACTTTAGCTATAATCCGACATCGAATAGGGAATCAAGTATCCTGAGCTCTCGAAACAGGCGCGCAGATATTTTTTTACAACTTTTTACAAATCATTAAATTTATTGAAAATTGTGCCAGTATTTCTTATATATGAGAAGTCGTCGCACTCAAGCTTGGTATGAGACACGTTTAAAGGTTTCTCATAAAACTCTCTCTCTCTCTCTCTCTCTCTCTCAATAGAACTTTCATCTTCAATGTGAGCAGTTAAGCACTGAGTGTGGACTGGAAGCCTTCAGTGACCGAACAGGGTCAAGGAAATCGTGGACTCTCCTTCAACTCCACAGTTCGGGAGATTTTTCATATCCACAAACCTTCTGAACTTGCTGATTAATACGAAACGTGTGTTGCTGCGCCGCTGCAGCCGTAGGGGGTAACAGTGCGGTTAGATTCGGCTGACCCTTGTATGCGTATTTTCTGCAGGTCTGATAACGATGTCGGTTTAAATATCTCTCACTAGCAGGCACGTTGTATGCAGAGAACGGCGTTCTCCAGCTTCAGAAATCATTTCGTGGCCCCAACAATTTTAATCATTTTCGCTTACCTTTTTGAAAAAAAACATGATGTCGTATCATGAAACATTATGTCATTACTAGAATGCTTTATCGCAAGACGATTCTGTTCATTTTTTGGTGCTTTTACAGCTTTCGGTGTAGCCATAAAAAAGACGGCCTCCTTCCTATAACTACGATGCGGGGCCTAAACGCTTTCTGACGCATTCAACGTGAGATTACAGCTAAAGTATGGGAGATACAAAAAAATGTAAATACTCTTTTTTATAGGGAATTTAGTAAACTATATTTTTCATGTAAACTATTTCTTCGTATCAGTAATAGTTGCCGAGACATGGGCAAAAAACTGGAAAAGTGTACCGTTTTTCCAAGATGGCGTCTCGAGCGCAACAGATTTTGACAGGGACTTTTAGTATGTTCAATAGAAAGTCCCAATAAATGTGTATACCAAAATTCAGATCTTTACCGATTAATGTTTTTATTTGTCCAAAATTGCGCTAATTTGACTGGACTACTAGAGATCTAGTCGAAATCTCAACCCAAAAGTGTTTAATTAAGTACATATTTTTAACATTGTTAACTTGTTTTCCACACCACTTAATCATTTTAATAGAAAACATAAGATGTACCTACTCGATTCCCAGAGGAAAAACACCAAAACCCGCATTAAGAAATGAAAGGAATCCATCATTAAGTACAAATTAGCAATACCTAAAAATTACCCTCACCTCAACTGACGCCTGTGACCTGATGCGTTAGGCT